CCCATGGAATTCTGAATCCAAATATGGAAGTTTGACCCCGGTTAACCCCTGGTTGACCTTAAATTGACCTTTTGGCTTTTTGACCCCAAACTTGTATAGAAAACCTCGGGATTAACACCGGAAAGTGGCGTATTCCCCAGCCCAACCCCTGGAAATGAGAATGGGTCATCTCGCTAAAAAGTTGGGGGAAACTTATATATTGGGAACTAGATCAGAAGCTGATAGAGATACAGTTTTACATTGCAATCTTGGAGTAGAGGATTTAATTCAGAGTGAAGTTGGTTAACATTGGGTTCATTTTAACTAGGCGAATGATCTATTAATAGCAATTCAACTAGACTAAAGAAAAGTAGTCCCAGAGGAAATTGATAGTACTAGGACCGCGGCATGAGAGTTAAGTTTCCTAAATAGTATGAATGGACGGGAAATTCACTTGGCTCTCCGGAGGTGACTTTTTGGTTTTATTTGACCCCAGACGAACTACGTCCCCCTGATAGCTGGAAGGTCGGGATTGGAATAGAGTAAAGTTAGAAATTTTAGATGCCTGAAATTAGCTAGCTTCCCATGAAAAGGGCCTCCCCCTACCTTTGGGAGGTCGGAACGTTAACGGGATTTTTAAAATAAAGACCTTAGGAGGATTACTGAGTAAACATAGCATGGTTTGGAGGTTGAGTTGAACTCGAAAGCTGAAGTTCACAGAGTTCAGGAATTGTTTGATTAGAATCTTATGACATTTGTTTGCTTGGTCAAATTGTGACAGCTACCGCATACTGGGTATCTAATAAGCGTGAAAAGTTGATAAAAGAAACCGAAGTTGGCACGTGGCAGAGTTGACAGGGGGAGGAATATAGTCTTAAGCATGTGCGGACTGGTGATTTAGGCGGATGTCAGGACTGATAGGGAATGGCGTGACTTAACTAAAACTAAGTGTAAAGAAAGATAAGGAATTGGAGGGTACCGGAGAGCCTTTAAGATTCAGAATAGTGTGAGCTACCATTAAGAGTAGTTGGTTCTCGTCAGAGAAGGGAACAGTGTTAGCTACTATTAAGGGTAGTTGGTTCTCGTCAGAGAAGTATTATTGCGAGCGAATTGAATAGTTGGTTCTCAATTAGTTAGAGAACGCGTTGGAAGACTTGTTAATGTGAGTGTAGATTAGTTAGTGAATGTTAGTTAGGCTATCTAGAGGATAGCGAAATCGTTGTTGGACGATTGTTATTGAAAGAATTTCTCGAGGAGGACGTTAGTTTGTAGTGAGGTGTTAATTGAACTGCAGGAGGCAGTTGGTTTAAATAATAGTAATCGCAAACCCCTTTCTTTAATTGAATGATTAATTTGTATTTCAGCCAATTTTAGGCTACTCTGTATTTGGTTATATTCCTTTGTTAATTCATTCTTATTATTGGAATTTTTGTTGCGATCGATTATTGATTGACGGGTGAGATACAGTCGGAAGAGCACGAACCACGGGGCGAGCAGCAAAGTACAGTACAGAGCAGCCAACCACCAAATTAATCCTTTTGGGATTGTGAACAGTACTGGGAATCGGTTACCCCGCTTAGTACAAAAGGGGAACACATTGCGGTGGCGTGAAAAAGCGAGCAAGTTCGGCCTAGAGATATTGTGAATTCCCCCACGTTTACAACAAGTGTCAGATTTTGTCTTGAAGGGTGGAGATTTTTGCCACATTATATTGAGGTCACAATTGTATTTTTTATTTTGGAATTAAATCATTTTCTGGAACTTTTTCTACGAATTTCAAATTCTGAATCAAATTTCAATTTCTTGAAAAAAATATTTAAGATTTTCAATTTTGTTTACCTGATTTAAGAATTTCCTATGATTCCAGACTTTTTCAAAAACTTTCTGCAACTCCAAATTTCTCCATTTCAGTTTTTTGTTGGATTTTGAGGTTTTGCGTTAACATTTCTGGTCGGATTTGGTTTGGTTAGCACAGTAGTCATCGGTTGTTTTGAAAACAATTCTCTAGGTTGATAGTTTTTGAGCTTTAATTGTGCAAATGTTTGGCGGATTCCCTCGTAAGCTAACATCGTTTCGCGATAAAAGATCTCAAAAACAAGATAACTCAAAACCTGAAGAAACTCCCTCTATTCTATCATATATTTTTCTAACACTCATAATTAATTTAAATCAATACTACATAGGAGAAAACTATAATCATTTTTCAACATTGTTCACCTTCAGCAAAAACAGTCTTCAGTCAATTCAAAAAGCAGAAAGATTAAGGCTGCGTTCACTGAATTTCAATTGAGTGCATAATCATCTGTTAAAAATTGAGTTTCGAATGATTTTTAAAATTATTTTTAAAAAGCGTAAAAGCTAAAAAATCTTCTAAAGTTCATTTTGAAATCAAATTAATAAATTTTTCCTTAGAAAAAAAGTTCTTAGATATTCGATTTTGTAATAAAAGTTGTATTTTAACATTTGAATTGTTAAGTTTTTCTGGAATATTTTCTTACTTACTTCAACATTCAAGTCAAAACTTAAAATGTTGTAATATTTTGAGAACATTTTGATTTTTACTTTTTTGACGTTAGACTTTTGAATGATGACAGATTTTTTCAAAGAAGGCAAAATTGCAAACTTTCCTATTTCTAGTTGTTTGTTGGATTTTCAAATTTTGTGCAAATATCACATTTAATTTCGCTGTAGCACAGTAATCATCGGTTATTTCAATAACTTTTTTTATGGTTGATACTATGTGAGCTTTAATTGCGAGAATGTTTGACGGTTTCCCTGGAAGGCTAACGTCGTTTCAAAAAAGATAACTAAAAACGTTTCTAACAGAGTTATCTGATTATTTGAGAATGAATGAAAATGAGTGTTTTTCTAAAAAGAAGCTGTCATTTTTTGTGTATTGAGTAAATATCTGAAAGTAAGTATCAAGAAATAACTTTTCATCACCCAATCATGTCGATTGTTGTTGGACGATTGTTATTGAAAGAATTTCTCGAGGAGGACGTTAGTTTGTAGTGAGGTGTTAATTGAACTGCAGGAGGCAGTTGGTTTAAATAATAGTAATCGCGAACCCCTTTCTTTAATTGAATGGTTAATTTGTATTTCAGCCAATTTTAGGCTACTCTGTATTTGGTTATATTCCTTTGTTAATTCATTCTTATTATTGGAATTTTTGTTGCGATCGATTATTGATTGACGGGTGAGATACAGTCGGAAGAGCACGAATCACGGGGCGAGCAGCAAAGTACAGTACAGAGCAGCCAACCACCAAATTAATCCTTTTGGGATTGTGAACAGTACTGGGAATCGGTTACCCCGCTGACCTTAGTACAAAAGGGGAACACATTGCGGTGGCGTGAAAAAGCGAGCAAGTTCGGCCTAGAGATATTGTGAATTCCCCCACGTTTACAACAAGTGTCAGATTTTGTCTTGAAGGGTGGAGATTTTTGCCACATTATATTGAGGTCACAATTGTATTTTTTATTTTGGAATTAAATCATTTTCTGGAACTTTTTCTACGAATTTCAAATTCTGAATCAAATTTCAATTTCTTGAAAAAAATATTTAAGATTTTCAATTTTGTTTACCTGATTTAAGAATTTCCTATGATTCCAGACTTTTTCAAAAACTTTCTGCAACTCCAAATTTCTCCATTTCAGTTTTTTGTTGGATTTTGAGGTTTTGCGTTAACATTTCTGGTCGGATTTGGTTTGGTTAGCACAGTAGTCATCGGTTGTTTTGAAAACAATTCTCTAGGTTGATAGTTTTTGAGCTTTAATTGTGCAAATGTTTGGCGGATTCCCTCGTAAGCTAACATCGTTTCGCGATAAAAGATCTCAAAAACAAGATAACTCAAAACCTGAAGAAACTCCCTCTATTCTATCATATATTTTTCTAACACTCATAATTAATTTAAATCAATACTACATAGGAGAAAACTATAATCATTTTTCAACATTGTTCACCTTCAGCAAAAACAGTCTTCAGTCAATTCAAAAAGCAGAAAGATTAAGGCTGCGTTCACTGAATTTCAATTGAGTGCATAATCATCTGTTAAAAATTGAGTTTCGAATGATTTTTAAAATTATTTTTAAAAAGCGTAAAAGCTGAAAAATCTTCTAAAGTTCATTTTGAAATCAAATTAATAAATTTTTCCTTAGAAAAAAAGTTCTTAGATATTCGATTTTGTAATAAAAGTTGTATTTTAACATTTGAATTGTTAAGTTTTTCTGGAATATTTTCTTACTTACTTCAACATTCAAGTCAAAACTTAAAAAGTTGTAATATTTTGAGAACATTTTGATTTTTACTTACTTGACGTTAGACTTTTGAATGATGACAGATTTTTTCAAAGAAGGCAAAATTGCAAACTTTCCTATTTCTAGTTGTTTGTTGGATTTTCAAATTTTGTGCAAATATCACATTTGATTTCGCTGTAGCACAGTAATCATCGGTTATTTCAATAACATTTTTTATGGTTGATACTATGTGAGCTTTAATTGCGAGAATGTTTGACGGTTTCCCTGGAAGGCTAACGTCGTTTCAAAAAAGATAACTAAAAACGTTTCTAACAGAGTTATCTGATTATTTGAGAATGAATGAAAATGAGTGTTTTTCTAAAAAGAAGCTGTCATTTTTTGTGTATTGAGTAAATATCTGAAAGTAAGTATCAAGAAATAACTTTTCATCGCCCAATCATGCAAAAAAACATGTTTCAGATTGAGAAAATTCAATGAAAAACTCTAAGACATCGAACCATAAACCATCAAAACAAAGACAAAATTAATTTTGTGTCTACCTCGTGTAGGCACAAAAAGTTTAGTAAAGCCTTTTGATGTTTTTTGATACTGTATGCAGTGAAAAAACTCGATAAAAAACTTGCACCCTAGTCGTGGATAAGAAACTTTCTTCTGCATATAAAAGCTTCTCATATTGACGCAAAGCTAAATTTAAAAAAGTGAAACAAATTTCGGCCACTCAATTGGGCTGCAGACACGAGGGCATTCAGCAGAATTTTCATTTTGCATTTAGCTGGCTGATTACTTATCATTATCAGCCAGCTAAAAAATTGACCAGCGGTTAGAATAAATTATCAAAAAATGTATCATCAGGCAGACTGCGCTCAAAATAGCTATGTGATTCAAGAAGTTGTAGTAATTTTTGGACATCCGTTTTCAGTTCACTCAATTATCGGGTGGTTTATTCGCTAACTCCATGGCTTCTTTTAACACAGCGTACTCCGTCATGATGTCATCAAGGAGTCCCTTGATGTCCTGAACAAACTTTGTCTTCATGTCTTCATATCTGTTCGCCTTCTGAGTGAAATCTTCCTTGAAGGTCGAAACTCGAAAGCTGTGATCGTCCTTAAACAGTTTTTGAAAACAGTAAAGGTTGGATGTTTTACAGGAAAAGTATAATTGCTAGTCATACTCTTTGGCTCTATTAAGGCTATAACTTTTGATATAATTTTCGAAGGAGGTTTTAAATAACATTCATTCAAAAATGTTTTTTTTTCAATCGATTGCCAAAGAGTGGATTGAGGTTTTTTTTTCATGATATCAGCACTAAAAATGACTCTTAAACAATTTATTGGTCGTACTTTTTCGAACTTGCTGAAAACCTCTAATTTTTTTTTCACCTTGAAATATGAAAATATGACCAAAAAAAGCCATATCAAAATCAAAAAATGTTCACGCCACGACAGCGCTAAAAATAAAATAATTCCACTTCTGAATCCTATCCATTTTTCACAAACAACACAGAAATTTTTTTGGCCGCGCCTATTGGGGTAGGAAAACTCACAATTTACTTCAAAACTTTGCAAAATTTTTGACACAGTGTCAGAGTGTATCAAAAATTTGCAAGCTTGAAAGAAATTTTGAGCAAACTAGAGTTATTTTGAAAGATCTGCAAATATATCTAAAAAAAGCCTAACTTTTTTTGTAAGAAAGCTAGCGCCGCATCTCGTGAAAATGAATCTTTTAGGTCTAACCTCGCATTGCTGTCTTGCATGTTACAGCCTGAAGTAAAGGTTTTGAAATTTTTTTGAAAGGAAGGTTTGGAATTTAGGAGGTCTTTTGTCACTACTACTTACTTCGTAGATTGAGCTGGACGCCTGCTCTTCGACCAAGAGGAGATTCTGGAACTGGTTTTGGAACTGCAGCAGGTGAAATGTCATCTTTTCCAGCCTCCTCAGTGTACAGTTAGACTCGCTCTCGACATATTCTACTCCAGTTTTTACGTCAACCTACAAACAGGACATCTTTTTTTTCAAAATATTCACAGTCTTATTTTATATGCGAGCAGAAGGCAATCAACTCGAAACAATAAATGTGAGCTCCGTTTATTTTATGAATCAATTCCATATAAGAACAAGGATGGCCGGTTACAGTGAAGTCTGTCTATCAAAAACTAGTGAGAATTTTTTTTTCAAATAAGGGTAGTTTTTTTCTGCTTGGTGTGACAAAAGAACCTGACCTAAAACTATCATTTAGGCATACCCGACAGTCATAGTAACATAGGCAACAGCACAACAGTTTTTTAAGAAAATCATAATTAAAAAAAATCATAACAAAATTTTTAGAAAAATGCGAAAAATTTGTTCTTCTTTTTGGATTTTTTTTTTGAATTTTTGAAGTTCTTTAATTCCAAAATGGCATTACAAACTTCCAAATTTTATCCTATTTGAAAAAAGGCATAAATAACTTAATGTAAACGGACTAAATGAAGCGTAAATAAGCGTGCTCGCTCGCTTTACTCGCTCGAATTTAAACGAAAAATCAAAAATTCAAATCATCATCACGAATCACGACTGAAAGGGATTTAAAATGATATAACACTCAACTCTCTCCGAAGATAACTTTTGATAGCTGATTTTGCATTGAAAACAAAAAAAACTAAAACACACCCGAATACAAAATTCCTCCCCATTTTTGAAATGGTAGGAACAACAACATCAGCTGTTTAAGTGAATATGGCCTTAAGTTCCACACACATTAGGTTTGGAAAAAAAAACTATATTTTACTCGGCTTTTTTAAATTAATTTTGATCATATTTTTGTTCGAGATAGAAGCTCGCTTAGAAAAGTCTCAGAAGAATTTTAAAGATCCTAAAAGCAAATAAGTTGATTTAAACCTTTACACAAGTTTCAGAATTGGAAATGTTTTGATTGGCATGTGGAAAATGGAAAATTATCAGAACATTTGTTTCATATATTTAGTGTATCTAATTGCAGGTGCGGATTAAAGAGGGGGCAGACTCCCCCTCTCTCAGGGATTCTATCCCCTCACCAACCGAAAGATCCTTCTTTGGTAAAATTTTATGACATCCATTTTCTTCGGCTTTTCTAAAATTCTTCTACCAGCACCTTCGGCATCATTAAGTACTAATTTTGAAGGGGATCGCGCGCGCCAAAAAACCGCATTTTTTGGTCAAAAAGTTTACAAAAAAGCTCAAATTTTTTTTGAACTGTTTTTTCAAAAAATTCCTGCTTAAAAGGGTCTTTAATGTGTGCTGAAAAATCATTTTCGTCAACCGATGAAAAGTTGACATTTTGAATTTTTTGAAATTCCGCTAAAACCTTGAAAAACGCGGGATCTTCACCTGTCTAATTGTATGAAGAGTATTTTAGTCTGTAGAAGCCGGGCAGTATTATTCAACCCGAGATCAACAATCCTCTCAGCGTTGTCTTATTGTCTCCGCTTCTGATATCTGTAGACTTCCGAAAAGTGAGTAAAAAACACTTTCAGGTAGTTGTTCTGACTATCGAAAATGAGGATAAACTTGTATTTGGGTGTGGCTCAGATTTTTTTTGTCAGGTAGCACAAATAATAATCCGAATGGTTCGATTGATATATCAAGTTAAAGTTTCCATTCGTGATTTGAACGAAATTAATAAAATTCTCAAAAATGTGTCTCAGTGTCGAGAAAAGCTGGTTTGAATTTTTTGTGCGATTTAGTCTAATTTCGACCAAGTAACGCGATCGAGTAACGCTCGTTATATTTAAATTTCCTTTTTTAGACAGTTAGCTTAAAAAACATGGTTTTCATATAAAGAACACTAGTTTCGAATGTTTTACTTAGTGCTTAATTGGCAACAAAAATTTTCTAAAACAATTTAAACTTTTTTAAAAATTAATTCATTTTTTGTATTTGTTATTCTTTTTTTATTTCCTTTCTCGAATCGCAGCAACTAAAAAAACCGACGCTTGATTGAAAAAAAAATTTTTCTACTTTTTTGAATATGGTCCAAACATTCTGTGCTACTTGTACAGCAACCGGAAATCATTTTTTGAAAACTAGAATCACTTAAACGGTACAGAAAGTTCCTACCACAAAAAAAAATAGAACATGTATATATATATTTTTGTGCCAAATAAGATAATTACGAGGCCACTCTGCTTATTTTTTAAATGATACACGAGTTTCGCAAAAACGCTCTCTAATCGTGTGTTTCGTTTGATTGTGCCGACAAAATTTCAACGTGGTTAAAGAATTTTGTCTGGATTCCATTGATGTATACACACCAAATGGTGAGCGTATCCAGTTCTCAGTTTGGCCTTGTAATGCTGGTTTTTGTTTGTTTAGCAATGAAAGAAGCAGAGTTGAATAAACATTTTTGACAACAATTTTTTGTCAAAAAAATAATCGACAACAAAAAAAATCAAAAAAGAAATCATGTAAAAATTTTTCAAAAAACTTTTCATGTTTTTTTTTGTTGTCAAAAATACGCTAAAATAAGATGCAAAAATTAAAATTCCTGGAATAATCCCAAGTTTGTAGGTCTTATTTTTATGTTTTAAGCCTGCTCGCTTTGCTTTTTGTCAGCAATTTCACTCTTGCGCTGCGGAAAATTATAATTTACTTGACGTTGTCGAGTTTCTTCAATTGTGATGATGGTTCCTTTGTTATCGGCATGGGAGTTATGATCTGTGCTCAAGCGGCATTTATTGCAGAGGGCTTCTCTATCTTTCATACAGTAGTAGGTCCTCAGTTGGTTGTGATTTAGACACTTGATTGGGCTATTCGGTTCCTCTTCCTTCCCCTGTCTTCGAAGTACCGCTTTCATTTGCTAAAATACAACAAGCGCTTTAAGGGAGGGACAACACCTCTTTACTAATTAGGCACCGTTGTCACCAAACCCTCTCGATCAATCCTCTTCCTCCTCCTCCTGCTTGCTTTTCACTCTCAAGTACATCTTGTGGCCAGGAGGAGCGAGTCTAGCATTTTCTCGAGGGGGAAGGGGGTGGATTTTCAAAAATCCTTCATAAATTTTGTCGACATTTTTTAGGTCGACCAAATTGATTTTAAAAGTTCTCCCAGAACACTATAAAAACCAAGTTGTGACCAAATTTTTTCAGCCTCAGGCAATTTTTTTGAAAAAAAAGTAAAAAAAAAACCTTTTTATAGGCACTTTTGGAGAATCTTGACCAAAAAATGCGTTTTTTCGGCGCGCGCTCCCCTTCAAAGTGACTATATATTGGCGCCCAAGGCGCATTAAGAAAAATTTTAGGGTTGGCCGGCAAAAAATGGATGTAACAAAATATACCAAAAGAAGGGCCCTTTGGTTGGTGAGGTGATCGAATCCCTAAAGAAAAAGCGCCCAACCCCCGCCACCCCACCCCCCTAAATCCGTCCCTGATCAAAATAAGGATCAACCGTACAATCCCCCTCCCCCCCTAAGTGACCTACCTTAGAATGCCCTCCCCAAACATGTATTAATTCTGGAAAAAAATCTGTATAAAATATGCATTTCGGGTCTTTTTATTTATTCAGCCCAAAAATCAAATATCCTCAATTGAAACTATTTTGCTTGAGTTTGACTGGCTAGTATTCGCAATCAAATTTCTCAAAATAGTTTGATCATAACTTAGGTCGGCTTATAAATAAGCCGAATTAGCTAAGAACAATAATCATTTGGAAAACTATTCAAAGTAATTTGAAATGAAGTTTTACCCAGACCAAAAGAGAAACATAAAAAATAGATACAACAAAAAAATTGATATTTTTTAACATCTGCTCAAAATTCGGCCTTGTTAGAAATTGTCTGAAAATTAAAATGATCGAAACTGTTAACCAAACGAACCAGTGCGACCAGTGTTTTGTTATCTGCATTCATTCATTGAATACTACAAAACTGGAAAAGTAAGAATTTAGGGGGGAATAAAAAGTAGAACATGTTAGTCGATCCATTTTCAGGTATCCAAGCTATTATGCTAGTCGAACAAGTCTCAATACAAGCTCTAGTGCTAATTTACTGTATTTATTTATAGGGGTGGAGACTTTTTTAGCGGATACCATAGGGGGGATTGTTAAGTAGAACCCTTATTTCTCTACCGCGTTAGCGTATTACAGTTGGGAGTCAAACGGTGCGAATCATCGAGTAGATAATTCTGAAGCAAGATTAAGCTGGAAACTTACAGAGTAAACAAAATTTTCAAAGTTTTTCGAGAAACAGCCCCCCAGAAAAGCTTTTGCAAACGCCACTGCTAATACTGGATTCGTTTTGTAATGTTTTAGCAGAACTGTTTAAGTAGAACAGTTTTTTAATGTTTACCGGAACTGATTCACTAAGTTTACATTAAACAGAGATCTGTGACAATACTGTAGCATAACAGCAACATCAAAAATCAGGGGTGACTATCGCAGAACTGATAGATCAGCACGGCTTCCATTTATAGATCAGCACTGGTTCAAGGCCTTATCGGAGGTTTTGCTGAAGTTCTAATTTTTTTTCATATTCAGCAAAACACAGCAGCCTGCCCAGGCGCAGACTTACAATTTTTCGCGCCCTTAGGTTAACTCGACGTCATTACTGCTGCTTAGTATAAATTCTGTAGCAAAATTGCATCTGCTTCGGAAGTCTGTTTTTTGCTCAGAAAGTTGTGTGCTAGAGTTACTTTTGTGATTTTTTCTGAGCTTAAGGGCATTTATTCACAGGAGAAAAGACAACTTCGCTTACATCCTTCTCAAGAACGGGATTTCCCTAAGTGACATAACTCTCAAATGGCATAAAAACTAAGTTTCGATTGAAGTTCAACCGCTTTCTATCTCAAATATTTCTCTGTTTGTTTCAGGATTAAACAAATATGAACAAGATTCAGAATCAACTAATTCTTCATAATAACTATGGGAGTCGCAGAGGATCTATGAAAAGCTGTACAACCTGACTAAGCGTAGTCCGTTCCACCTATTTACCCACATTCCAGACTGAGTTTTTTTGGTGAGCGAATCTCGGTTTTTGCTGCTCAGTATCGTTTTTTGCGTCTAGAATTTTCACGTGGTACCAGTCTTGCTGTGGTAGTCCTGAAGCTAGATGTCAAGTGAGAAGTCATACTCACAAACTGTTCTTTCCAAGGTTGGGGATCGAATCCTCAATCTTAGGATCTTAAAGTGAACGTCTTACCAATATCCTAATCGCATCTTTGTAGTCCAAACAAATGTTGAGCGATATTTTGATGGAAAAACTGATCAGACGAATATAAATAGTAACGACAAGCTTATGCTTTTGACCAAACACAAACTAACTTTTTTTTTTTAAAGTTCACTGCGAATCACCAATAGATATAACAACATTACTATTTTTCATGCCGCCTTGTTAACAAACAAAGCTTCTCTCCAAAGTTTTCACCAATGCAACTGTTGCATGGAATTAAAACCATTAGGGAAACTTTTTATTTGTATGCCACTTTTCAGCACTTTTCAAAAAATTTTACCAAAATTTTGCGTTTTTTTGTCGCGCGCTCCCCGTAAAATTAAGTTATATAGGCTCCAAAAGCGCCTTTACAAACATTTTGAAGCTGGCCAGCCAAAAAATGGTTGTCGTAAAACTATAAAACTATAACAAAGGGGGAACCTTTGAAAAAAGTGGCAACCAGAATTAAGGAGGCGGTCGCCCCAACACCCCCCCCCCCCCCCTCGGCACACAATTGCCCACTTAAAATTTCTCTTAAAACTAAAATAGTGTTACAACTCACTTCAGCCCGAGCATAGAGGGGATAGTTGAAGGGGAAGTCGGTGCTCTTTTCATTGGGCTCGGCTATGGCCGATTTGCAGTCATCTCTGGGACATACGAAGGATCCCCTCTCTTTGCACTCTTGGAGATGCTTGCCCAGACAGTCGGTAGGAGGAGACGAACCTTACCGGGTATTTTTACATTTGTACCAATAATTTCAGCTGAAATTATCCAACAAGCCAAAAAAAATTGAAACAATTGCTGGTTCAGAAAAAATGCAGTCATTTTGGCCAAATTCAAATTTTTTTTTGCAATTTTGCAGATCTGAAACAGGAGCGTCAGCTTAAAGAAAACCAAATGCTAAGAAATCGAGAGAAATAAATGTGATAATCATAAAGTTTTATGGATATCATATTTTGTTTCGAGTTCCAATGATGAAGTCTTTTTCATGTTTTTGAAGAAAACAATTTTTTTTGTGTTAATTTTCTAAAGATTCTATAATTTTTAAACTATTTCAATAGCCTCCCTCATATGGGCTGATTTTTAAAGTTTTTTTGCGTCCCTGCGCGACTCATGTTGCGAATTTGCACGACTCAAGAAAGTCCTAATTCGGTCGCAACTTGAGTCGCGAAGTTCGGACCGAGCAATTTGGTTTGTGCTCTAATAGAGTAAAAAGACCCGTTGCCTTGTCTTCCGGAGGGGCCACAGAAGGAGTGACCACAGGGCAACATGCGCGCATTCAGGAATATATTGTTGCAGATTCGACACACACAGCTTTCGTTTTCCCTCGCAAACATCCTATCAGAATTAAATTATAGTTTACTAAGTTTAAACACAATGATTTAAGACTTAGGATAGCATTAGATTACAATCGAAGCTTAAGCTTCAAGAAAGTCGAGCATTTTTTGAATAATATGTTATGCGATGTTTGCAAAAAGCGTAGATATGATGTGACTCTGTGCACTGATAAATTTAGTCAAGTATCTACGTGAAGTCTACGTGAAGTTAGTCATTGTAAAAAATTTACATTGAACAGTAGAAACAGTCTTACCTATGACAAAAAAGTTAAATAGAAAAATTTGCTGTCGCAAGATAATAACTTACGTTTTTCTTTCGATATTCCTCCAGTACTGACAAAAATGGACTGCAATCGATTTTGAACAGATATTGAAGCAAACATCTAAAAAAGTGATTTGCAACGATTAGATATGAAAAAAACTTGACACAAAAATGTAGCTGATAATTCAATTTCAATCAATTCTAAATCGATTTGAACCTATTTTGTCTTTTTTTTTCGTTTCGTTTTCATTGGGTTTTTGTCTACTTTTTTGTTTACTTATTTTATACAAATTGTATTCAGATTTTGTTCGAATTTTCTCGGTTATCAAATAAAAGAAAAAGTTGGATATAAAGGTATAAAGAATGCTTTTCAACTGATTTTCGAGTTGATCTTTGACCTGAAAAAAAAAGTTAATTGATCTAGAAATTGAAATTTTTAATTATATGTTTTTTGCCTAATATAATAGCACCTATAACGCATAATTTTAATTTTCAAACCCGTGAGAGCTCTTGTGTTTGCAAAACTTAAAAGACATTCCTTTCATCAAATAGTTTGCAGTGAAAAACTCTCATCGAGAGACCTTTGTTCACTGTAGCTCCAACGAAAAAAGTCAAAAGTTGCTCATTTTTCGAAACAAAAAAACTAGGATGATTTAATCAATATTTTTAAGATTTTGTTTGTTCTCAATGCCTTGCAAGTAAATCGATTTAGATAGATGTTTCACGAAACATAATCAAATTTTTTCCACCGTGAAAATCCATTCAATTCATACTAAATTGATTTATGAATCTAAAGCGATATTCATCGATTTTCATAAAATATTTCATATATAATATATTATCGGTAGAACAATTAAGTTAAATCGATTGTATTTCAATCTAAAGTTTGTTGAAAATGGTCAAATTGAAAATGGTTAAATTTAGACAAAGCTAGGTTAAGTTTACAAATAAAACACACAGGTAAATAATACATAATTTTTTAAGCACCAATTAGTGGATTTGTAACACTTGTAGAATCAACTCAATAACCAACACGCAGCAATTTTGTTGGATGAAAATCAATTTCAATGGATTTTAATGAAAAAAAAAACTAAAATGTTGTCTGCATACTCGATCACCGTGGTAAATTTAGGCAAAGAATGAATTTTTAATCCATTTTATTGGAACCTGATCTAAACTACATTTTATGATTGGATAAATTAAATGTTTTACCAATGTAAAGTATTTAATATTAACCAATCATGATCCATCTAACTAACAACCCACTTATTTGTAAGTGCTGAAGTTACTTGTAATTTCAGCACCAGAGAGATTTGAATTTAACTTAGAAATTAGTTGGACTCTCCCGAGCACTTCAGCAGCCGCAATAAACCAGTATACCCTAGATCTATTGAGCCTAGCAGAGACTAGTTAAACAACCTGAGACTAGATAGTATAAGAGTAAGATTAGGATCGGTATTAGACTAAGAAGTTGCACGAATCTATCCGGCCGAAAATAAGATAGCGTGACGAGCAGACGGTGTACCCTATCCGAAATTACTCTATGAGTTATACACTCCAGTCCTAACTCATCTGGTGCGACCATAAGTCTCGAACAAGACCTTACTAGATTAGAATTAACCAAAATTAGATTAGAAATTAGACAAAAACATTTACAAAATGTTATACGACAATAATTTAATTGAAATGTCTCTCCGACTCAATAGATCAGAGCCAATATTCCGAACCATAACAGAACTACCCGGAATTGGAAGAAGACCTCGAACCAAAGACGACATACGACAAAGTAGAAACTTGCCGTATAGTTATATGATAGTTCGGCAAAAGCCAGAACAAACTTTTATATTTCGAATACTACTTGCAATGAATTTAGATTTCCATTTGCAAACATAAAACCTTGAAGTTACTCTTCAAAATCATTTCAGGCGCTAAACAAAATTAATATTATACAATAACGATTGATAAAAAGATCTAAGATCGTTTTCCTAAAACTCTGCAGTAATATACAAAACATGTTTGAAAAATATTTATTGAAAAATAAAAATAAAAATTAGTAGCATGACAATAAATGGTTAGTAATCATAAATCATCCTGTTGTTCCAGCTTCATCACCTAAAACATAACAGCAATCATCAACTCACTAATATCATCAAAACACTAAATCTTTCCTTTACACAAATTTAAAACTTTATTAAAACTTAAAGTCACTTAATTTAAAATCAGATCATCAAGGCTTATCCTTGGATCTTAAATCATTTTCTACTTAATTAAATTTCAAACTTGATCATCAAGGCTTATCCTTGGATCAAACAGAACAACTTTGTTCTCCCCCACCCACTTAATTAGTGTCTAACGACCTCAAACGTCGATTCACTATCCAACCCTATCTAAAAACCCAGGACTAATAGAAATTTTTACACAAAACTAATCATTCAAATTAGGATAAACAGTGAAGAACTTCGGTTATTCATCCTTCACTTGACCCCCCCTCTTACTAGACCCAGGATAAATCTTAGACTTAGTAAGTTTAAAATAGTATCTAACGAACTACTCGCGTTCTAATTATACCTGAACCTTGTGGATCGATTTACTATTCTCCAACCCTTGAACACAATCACTACCCCTAAGTAAGATTAAGTAAGTTAACACCTTAGCTTATACTAGTCACGAGAAAGTAAAAATCATTCTTCGGAATCGATATACTTTTCTCTCCAACCCTGAACAAATAGACCCAGGTTAAGCTAACCAAAAAATCGTAAGGACTAACAGTTTAAGTAATTAGAATTCACTTAACAACTTTTTGCATCCGTCATCCTAAACCTTATGTCATTTAAAAACCTAGGAAATAAACAAACAATCGTTTTACACAATTGTGAAATAGAAAACAAAAAATACGACCTTGTAATCACACCTCATACACAAACAGTTGGATACATTCGCACAAAACGACAAACACTAAAGAGGAAAATAATAACTAAACAAAGACAAATAACACGAAAAAGATTTTCAAAAAATCGAAACGCATTTTCAGAATCAGAAACTAACAGTTTAGACGAACTTTACAAACTAAAAGAATCAATAGATAAAAATTGCCCACTTCACGATCAACTATATTTTTCTGACTCAGAAACAACTTCAAATTCATCACAAAGAGGAAAAAGAAGAATAAAAAAACAGTACAAACACAAACCAGTACACCTATACAATTGGAATCAACCAATTCGACACATTAATAATTACATATTAACAGTCATCGAACGAAAAAATGAGCTCAACGCACACCCCAGGTGAAGAAACTCCAGATGATGATGAAATCTTTCCTTTTATAGTAGATGCAGATACTGATAGAGGACAACACATATTTTGTCAAAATTTACTCGTAAATTTATTTGAACCCGGAATCAGTCCATGTAAAACAGAGTTCCCCGATGTAAAAATCAAAAGACAAATCATAGATCACTATCTAAAAGATATATGCAACATAACACAACAGTATGGAATCTATTCTATAGAATTCACTTCCCCAAACCATAATAATAGAACATATACTATTCAAACAGACGATCTTGACTTAGAATTTTCAAAAGTTTTTTCAGAATATATAAAAAGCATCCAATACCATAACTCACAAAGAGCAAACTCCATTTTCACCAATGAAGTTTTCGCAATAATATATAGTTATATTTCGATATTAGAAAATGAACTCCCATTAACAAATGTCTCACCGACAGAAACATCTAAACATTTAAGAGTACGACATGAAATCACACTACTCTCTAGTTATTTAAACATCATTAAAGAAAATTTCACGAAAGACGATGTTTCACAACATACCAAACACGATTTACAAAAAATTTTGGCATGGTTCATAATAGATTATTTCACACACAATATTGATTTAATTGCACAAGCAAGAAAAAATTTTAGACCTCAAAATTCGAACGATGATACCGCTATCACAGAACAATCAGATTATGTTTGGGACCCCGAATGGTCTCATCCCGCATTTATAAGCTTTCCACAATCAATCTCAAGTCAAGCAATAGGTACAATATCTTACATAAGAGATTATGTAAGAGTAATACCATTAACAATTGATGCAACACCATTAAACTATAATACATTTTTACCCGATACACAAAATAATAGTTTAAACTCTACAGTCATACACAACGAAAACCTCAATGGAACTAGGAATCTTACTCAACAAGATATACAGACACCATCACACTTCATAAATGAAGAAATTGTACACACAACAACTACACAACAAAGTATTTCACCAATACGCCCAAATTTAACAACACCAAGAAATACAAATCCTTCACAAACACAGGTAACCTTACAATCAACCGTTAAACCTTCGGTTGCTCCAAAATATTCACATATGGATTACCAAACATATAGACCCATGACAATACCATCAAAAACACGAAAAACATTCACTAGAAACAACTTTGCAGACCATAATTATAATTATACACATCCGTCAAAAACAAATTATCAACCACAAAGGAATTTTAATCAATATACAAAACCTCGAAACTGGGATAACCCAACGGCCCAATATAATTCCAAAAATTTTCAACCAAATCCTCCACAGGATCGCAGTGAAAATTACCCATTTTTTCAACAAAATAAAAATAAAAAACAAACATCTTATCAAATGGATTATTTATCCTCAGATGATGATTTCTTACAACCAGATATATTTGCACAAAATACTCAAGAATATCGTAGACAAGGAATACAGAGAACACATACAAATCATAGAAATTTTTCTCCACAACCAATAGATGCACATCATCAACAACCAATTCAACAACAAAATCCAATGACTGCACACTCGTATCAAGCATCACAAATGCAAAATGAAATACCACTACCATATTATCTCCAACAACATGAAATAACAAGAAACCAACTTTCGAATTTTTCTC